CACACACACACACACACACGCGCGCGCGCGCGCGCACACACACCCAAACACACACAAACACACACACACACACACACACACACACACACACACACACACACGCACGCACGCACTCATCACCATCAGTGCCTGTGTAAAAAAAAGAAAACCAGCACAAGCTCCAGTGCCCTTGGAATCCGTAGAACGTCGCACTCACACGTCATTGAAGTGAAGTGAATGGATTACGATCGACCCTCAGAGGGGCGCTGAGAGCCACAGCAGGATGTTTCAAATGTGGATTGGTTTGTCGTACGTTGCCATGGCCGCCTCTTTGATGGCCTCGCTCAGTGTGGGATGCCCGTGGCAGGTCCTAGCAATATCCTCACTCGCCCCGCCGTATTGCATTGCCAACACACCCTCCATGATGAGCTCCCCAGCGTTCGGTCCCATTACATGCACGCCCAAGATTTTGTCCGTCTTCTTGTCCGCAAGAATTTTCACCAATCCATCCGCGTCTTCAATAGTCCTAGCTCTGCTGTTCGCCAAGAACGGAAACTTTCCAGCTCTGTACTCCACTCCGGCCGCCTTCAGTTCCTCCTCGGTTTTGCCGACCATAGCCACCTCGGGATGGGTATACACAATGCCAGGCACTGTGTTATAGTCCACATGTCCGGCTTTGCCAGCCAGGAGCTCAACGCAGGCAACGCCATCTTCCTCCGCCTTATGCGCCAGCATGGGTCCTGGAATGACATCACCTATGGCATACACCGATGGAACGTTCGTTCGAAAATGGTCATCGACCTCTATCCTTCCCCATTGGTCCGTTTTGATACCAAGTTGCTCCAGACCAAGATTAGTCGTGTACGGTACCCTTCCGACAGAAACCAGGACCACATCGGCCTGAAACTGTTCCTGCGCGCCTCCGCCTGCTGGTTCCAGGAACAAGACGACGCCATCGCCGCTAGTATCGACTCCAACCACCTTCGTCTTCAGCTTGAACTTCATCTTTTGCTTCTCCAATGTTCGTTGGAAAGCGCGCCGCACCTCACCGTCCATGCCCGGCACGATGGAGTCCGCGAATTCCACAACGGTCACCTCTGAACCCAGCCGCCCCCACACGGACCCCATTTCAAGTCCGATATACCCTCCTCCGATCACAACCATTTTCTTAGGTACCTTCTTCAACTCCAACGCGCCCGTAGATGAGACGATCTTCTGCTCGTCGATCGGGACCCCTGGAACTTGCCGAACGTCAGATCCCGTCGCGATGATGATGTGCTTCGCCCCGATTGACTTCTCCCCGCCCTCGGTCAACTGTACTTTGACCTCGTTCGGAGAGGTCAACGCCGCTTCGCCTTTGACATAGCCAACGCTGTTCTTCTTGAACAAGCCCTCGATCCCCTTGGTTAATCCAAAGACCGCCTGCTCTTTCTGCTTCATCATCTTGGCAACGTCGATTTCCAAACCGGAAACTTGCACGCCATGATTAGCGAATCGCGATTTCGCATCGTGATACATATGCGACGACTGCAAGAGGGCTTTGGACGGAATACAGCCCACATTCAGACAAGTGCCACCTAGACTGCCGCGCTTTTCCACACACGTTGTCTTGAATCCAAGCTGACCGGCCTTGATTGCTGCCACGTAACCCCCCGGACCTCCACCAATCACCACCACATCTGCCTCTTCATTCACCTTCGCGGCGGCGGAGGCGAAAGACCGCCCGCCTGTACCGCGCATGGCTGCTACCGCGGCGGCGACCGGTCGATGCGCGTCATTTCCACCGCCGCCAGCCTCACGCAGGGCTCTCACAGCGGCAGCGGCAGCGGCGGGAGAGCATTTCCAGCCAATTACTCCGCCGATTCGGTGGAATTGTCTTGCACTTTGGAAAAAATGGGCGGTTGCTTGGGAACCCATTTCCACCACCAAAACCTGTAAAACAAAAAAAAAAAAAAAAAAAAAAACACGGATCTTCAGAGAGACAGTATTTTTAAAAAAAAAAAAAAAAAGAGTCAGTATTCAAAATCAAACGCGCAACCGGAAACGGAGCCAACGGATAGTTCCTGGAAATTGTATGGGCCCTTATTTTGTAATTACCTCAAGTGGAGCAAAGGCAAGTTATTCCATCTCCGTTGTCTTGTCTATGATCGAAATCACGCATTTTGTTAACGCGATTGAAAACGTCAAACCTATTTTTAGAACTACCTTCTTCCCCCGAATACAACGTACGGTGATCATAGCTGTATCTAGACTGAAAGATGCCTAAAATACAGCGATAATGACCGTACGTTGTATTCGGGGGAACAAGGTAGGTTTTTCGGGCATCCAACTCACATCACCATCGTTGCATCAAGTGCGGGATCGGTTTGGGGAGCGTGGGGCTGAGAGCGGGGAGAGGGGGGAGCGGAAAGAAAAGAGAAAACGTGCGCAGGCATCAAAGTCACATCACCATCGTTGCATCAAGTGCGGGATCGGTTGGGGGAGGGTGGGGCCGAGAGCGGGGAGAGGGGGGAGCGGAAAGAAAAGAGAAAACGTGCGGACCATAGGATAGCATGTTGGGTAAGATTAGACTCGATTCAATCAAGCACCAAAGGAGAGAAACAGAACGCTCTTAAATCAAGTGAGATCCAGGACCGCCGCATACAAGTGAACCTGCGTACCTCTCGCGCTTGCAATTGTGGAGTCGACTTCGCCAAGTCTAAACCGGCGAAAGAAGTCACAACAACGTTTGAAATCGAACTTTCATATGAACACATTCTGCTCCTTCCCTAGCACAACACCGATAGCACAACACCGCTAGCGAAGGGTGCGACTACCATCCTTGTACCCTCCATCTCATCCCTTTAATCTTTGGGATCGGTGGTCGGAATTGTAGAATTCCCGCGGAAATAGGACCTCGCTTCCCTGGGAATTCGACTTCAAGGTCCCCGTGGTCAAACGTGCCCTATTTGGACGTAAGACCTCGGTCGGACGACGATCTAGTTGATCCGCGTAATAGCGCGTACGAATCCACGAGGTGGAAATTCGGGCTGCACGGCCCGGGAGCGGCGAGAAGAGACCGAGAGAGAACTGCCTAGCACGAAACCAAATTGACAAAAGGCAAATTGAAACCAAAGACAAGAGCCAAGGAGGAGACATCCGACCTTTGAACGCAACAAATTACTTATGTTAATTTCCGGATAATGAATTCAGTATTGAAAATGATTATAGAGGAAGCTCGAATTCGTTTTTTGTGGATTTTTATTTGTTTTGTTTTCACTTTATTGACTTGTTATTGTTTATCAACCTATGAACAACATGTGAAAGGGACGGCATCAATCTCACCCAATAAATGTGAAAGGGAAACAGCAACAATCTCACCCAATCTCTCCTTGCCCTGTGTCTGATTTCCACCACCCCTTCTCTCTTCACCTCCGATCCACTCCGAATTCTCTCTCTCTCTCTCTCTCTCTCTCTCTCTCTCTCTCTCTCTCTCTCTCTCTCTCTCTCCCCCCACCAGGGAAAGAGGGGTGAAACCACGCCACCAGCAACGTGTTGACCTTAACAGGGAGGAAGGTGGACGTGGTGCAGCCCTGTAGGGAGAAACAACCTGCCCACCAGTTGTTACGGACGTGTAAATTGGATGGCTTGTTGGCACTGATGCAGCCTTCGCATTGAGGAAAATGATGTGGCGCGTCAGGTGGCTATGCCAGAGAGTAAGAGACACTCTCAGGGAAAGTGTCTGAACTACCTGGAGGCGGATTCATAATGCGTCAAACACTTTGACATTGAAAAGTTCAAACCCTAGTCAAACCACACACCAAAAATAGCGGTGATAACCGTGATATCCACCTCCCGTAATCCACACGAGCTCCTTCGCCGAAGCAGAACTCTCAGTGCCGTTACTGCAGTTAGCAGTGACTGAACTAAGGATGAGGAAGTAAGGTCAACGGAATGGATCCTTCGGGACATCCGTTAAAATTGGAACGATACAGAGAAGAGAAGATTAGCATGGCCCCTGCGCAAGGATGACACGCATAAACCTCATCTTCCATGTCCAGTGAAACCTTACGCGTCTTTCATTTTCCTTTCGCCTAATATTCGTAGGGAGCCCAATATTAGTTTTTCAAAAAGGGAGGGAAAAAAAAAAAAAAAAACGAAGCAGAAAGTCTTCGACAAGTTCATATCACCCTACCGACGTTGTTTGACAGTTCTATGAGCCTCATATTCACTCTGAGGCTCTGAGCTAAAAATGCTTGCACAGGCCTGCAGGCTGCTGCCGTCTCGAGTGCAACCTGTTGAGGCGAAGGGTTTGGATATGGATCGTGCAACGTCAGCTAGAGCGGAAAATTTCGGTCCCAAAGAGAAAAACTTGACTACCGTCTTGACCCGAATAGAGCGCCCGGTCATTATAGCTGTATTTGGTGCAACTTTCAGTCTAGATACAGTGATAATGACCGGGCGTTCTATTCGGGTGAAGACGGTAGCCAAAAATATGTGCACGACATCGTCCATAGATGGCAGAAAGGGAAAGGGGGAGAGAAGAGGAAAGAAAAAAAGGGAGAAAAAGGACATGAAGAGCAAAAAAAGGGAGAAAGAGGACATGAGGAGCAAATTATAGTGTGATAGGGTAAGCAACACAAAGTGTTTCTAGTAGAGGCAGTGCCAGTGATTTACACTACAAACCGAGGCCCGAAGTGACAGAGAGGGCGAGAACGACGATAGAACGCAAAAAGAGAGTATCCGAAGAGAAAGAAGGGACAGCACGAGCAAATTACATAATGCTACCTTACGCTGAGCAACACATTGTGGTACTACTGGGAGTACCACCCATTCCTTCTCGCATTATTGTGGTACTGCTGGAGTGCCACCCATTACTTCACAATCCCAGATTCCGAGGCCCGAATTGATCATTATCGTATATATAGACTGATTACATCTGTTCTTCTAGTCCTTACATTAATACACGGGTTTCGAATATATCCAAGCCTGTCCAATGAAAAAAAATGTACTATAAGATACTCTGATTACCAAAACAAAATAAAATGAATACGGCCTTACAACCCAAAAACAAAGGAAACCAAACAGAGAACAATACGGCCTCTGCTTCGCCACCACTGAAAGCTTTCAATCCTTGTCCCACGACGGCGAACCTCCTCCACCTTAACCAATTCCAGCTGCTGTACGCTAATTAATAAGAGAGGAGCACTTAAAAGGCTGGATCTGCTACGTCGATCAAAACTTGCAGGAGATCGCAGATAAAGCACTTAAGCACGTCGGATCTACTACGTAGATGAAAATCTGCAGCGGCGCGCAGATACACGACATCGAACCGCCGCCAGATTCGTGGGACCCTTCTCTATACAAAACACCTCTTCCGTTCCAGAGATAGCTAAAAAGAACTAATAACAGAAGAAAAAATCTTTCTTGAATAAAACAACTCGACGACATTTAATTTAGGAAACAGAAAAAGTACCGGTATGTCTAAAATTGGCGCCAGAAAATACTTCCTCTTTCTACCCACTACCGACGCGCAAATATGTACACACTACACATAACTAAATGTCCTTTCTTACCTTTCCCTCTTCCTCACACAGCCATCGCTCTACCTCCTCTCTCGGACTACTAGACTTTCTACGATCCCCTTCTCTCCGTCTCCTTCCCCCTCCTTTCCCTTTTCGCCACCTACCTTCCACCTCCTTCTACACTGGCACGAGAGGCGGGAGCGCGTGCACACAGCAAGATACACAACATAACGCCTGTCTGCCCCCCTGTGTCCTATCCCGTGCTCTTTCTCTTATTCAGCTTATCGGCAATTTGATTGCTCATCCTAGTCATCAAACACCAGGCAATCAGAAAGCACTTCCAGTCTTATACAAACTAGGAAGGTAGGGCGCAAGCTCACGCAAACAGAGAGAGAGACAGAACAACGAGCGAGCGAGCGAGCGAGCGAGCGAGAGAGAGAGAGAGAGAGAGAGATTCTCACCAACAAGGACTGAATCCTGCCGTCACCGTGTGTTAGAAACAGACTAGTCTATGGGTTCTGCGATCACGCACGTAGGGTCGCCCGTGCCTCCACGACGCGCCGAGATGCTCGCTTCCCTCGGTGATTCACCAACTAAAGTAATAAAGTTCCATTTATACCTTGTCGTCCTCCCATACGCGCGGACTCCAGACGGTTTTAGGGCCTCGCCGAATCTCTCACTCACCAAATATGCAAAATGAGAATGAATGTACACCAACAGCATGGAAACGTACACGTCTTTAATTTTTTGTCGTTTGTGCGACTCCATACGGTCCACTCACCAAATATGTAAAAATGAGTATGCAAAACGAGAACGAATGTACAGCAACAGCATGGAAAGGTACACGTCTTTAATTTTTGTCGTTTGTGCATTTGGTGAGTGGTGCGGCGAGGCCCTTACACGCAGCGCTTTCTCCCTTTGCGGAGCTCATACAGTACAGTACTGCAGTGCGTCCAGCCTGGAGGCCTGGCCTGCGCGAAGATCCAGCGTAAGAAGTGTCGAAGAGGACCCGCCCGGCACAGCAGAATTGTCCACGCAAGCCAAAAGTCGCACGACCTCGTCCTACAACCCGATCTGGCGGAGTCGGTCTCGGCCCTTCAATCGTCGTACAGCGTTTGTCACACAAGACCCCTCCGCTCGGTGTCAGGAACATACGATTCGATGAAAAAAGACCTTGCTGCGCACTGGCAAACTACAGCAACTGCAGGTCAGCTCCGCGAAAACGACGGAGGGGCGTTCGTGTCTGGGGGTATTAACACCCTACCGGTTTCTTTCTTTTTTTTTTTTCTTTTTTTTTGGGGGGGAAAAGTGGAGGATTCCTTTTATTGGCCGCGGGGAGAGGCCGGTGTTCCACTGCACGCCGGAATCGGGTTGAAGTTTTGATGCGGGCCCGTGGATGAAGGCGATCGAGGGAGGGGGGGGTGCAGAGCGGTGCGCGTACCGAATTGTTCACAGCGCGCCAGAAGAGGAGAGAGTGCGCCCACGGGGCCCAGCGGCGGCGGGTGTGGATGCGAGGGAATATCTCGAAGCGCCCGCCGTCGGATAGCAAGAAAGTGTCGGTTTGTGGCCCGCCCCCTTTTTTAATTTTGTTTTCGGTCGGTTTTCTTTTTTACGTTTCTCTTTTATTTCTCCCTCCTTTTCTTTCTTATTTTCATCTCTGTATTTGGTGGCATCTTTTTCGTTTTTGGCGTTTTCACGCGGGCGGCAACAAACAAAACCGGGCGGGCCCGCATGCACACACACACACACACACACACGCACGCACCCGCCCGCCCACCCACCCACCCTCCCACAGACAGACAAATGGACGCACGCACGCCCGACCAGCCACCCACCCACCCACAGACAGACAGA